ATTTTATAATTGGACCCGGGGGCCGGACCAAGAGTAGATGAATGATGTGTATGTGTCATCCATAGTAAGTATAGTAATATTCCCCCATAGTAAGCATAGTAATTAATCCCCCATATAGTAATTCATCCTCCATATAGTAATTCATCCCCCATAGTAATTCATCCCTCATATAGTATTTTCATCCCCCCATATAGTATTTCATCCCCCCATATAGTATTTCATCCCCCCATATAGTATTTCATCCCTCATATAGTAATTCATCCCTCATATAGTATTTCATCCCTCATATAGTATTTCATCCCTCATATAGTATTTCATCCCCCATATAGTATTTCATCCCCCCATATAGTATTTCATCCCCTCATATAGTATTTCATCCCTCATATAGTATTTCATCCCCCCATATAGTATTTCATCCCTCATACAGTAATTCATCCCTCATATAGTAATTCATCCCCCATATAGTATTTCATCCCTCATATAGTATTTCATCCCCCCATATAGTATTTCATCCCTCATATAGTAATTCATCCCCCCATATAGTATTTCATCCCCCCATATAGTATTTCATCCCCCCATATAGTATTTCATCCCTCATATAGTAATTCATCCCTGATATAGTAATTCATCCCCCATATAGTATTTCATCCCCCCATATAGTATTTCATCCCTCATAAAGTAATTCATCCCTCATATAGTATTTCATCCCCCACAGTACTATTCCCCCCCCCCCCTTCTAGTAAGCCAAGTCCCCCGTGTCAATTCACTTACCTTTTGCGTTCCTCTCGCTGTCTTCCCGCGCCGTTCGGGTCTTCAGGGCGGACTGTGAGAGGAGCCTAGCTCCCCTCCCCTCACGTTCGGCACGCTGCCCCGCCTACACACATCCTGACAGCCACATCCGCAAGCCGGATTAAAAGGTCCCGCGCGGACTTTTGGGGCTGCCAACCGAGAGAGGAGGCAGGGGAGCGGCCGACCGAGAGGAGGGAGGGGAGCAGGCGCCCGGCACACAGAAGAGCCGCATTAGACTGGGTAAAGAGCCGCATGTGGCTCGCGAGCCGCGGCTTGCCGACCACTGAATCATTAGATTCTAATGATTGGTCTATTTGTGAGCCGAAGCCACATGTTACAGATGAAATTGGAATTTTTCCCACGGCACACCAGACAATATCTCACGGCACACACTTAGTGTGCCGCGGCACAGTGGTTGAAAAACGCTGGGCTAGACTGCCAAACAAAACATCTCTCACATGTAGTACCCCCATACTCGGGAGAAGTAGCAGAATGTATTTTGGGTAGCAATTCCACATATACCCATGGCATGTGTGAGCAGTAAATCATTTAAGTGACAATTTTGTGTAAAAAAAAATAAAAATGTCATTTTCCAAAAACTTGTGGTAAAAAAATTAATTCTTCTATTGATTCAGCATGCCTCTCAGCAAATAGTTTGGGGTGTCTACTTTCCAAAAAGAGGTCATTTTGTGGGGTGGGGGCGTTTTATGCCCAGCATTAGAAGTTTATGCCACACATCACTCACTCTTCTAACCACCTGAAGATCAAGCCATTTCTGACACTTTTTATTCACATGAAAAAAATCTGTATTTTTTGCTAGGAAATTAATTTAAACCCCCAAACATTATATATATTTTTTTTAAAGCAGACACCCTAGTGAATAAAATGGTGGGTACTACAATTTTTTATGGCACATAGTACTCGCGCAGAGATTTTTCAAAAGCAATTTAAAAAAAAAAAAATACACTTTTTTTACTTTTAATGCACAAAAACACAATATATTGGCCAATTATTTGGTAAGATATAAAAGATGATGGTATACCAAGTAAATAGATACCAAACATGACATGTTTTAAAACTGTGCATGCCCCGTGCAATGGCGACAAACTGCACACATTTTTAATATCCACAGGCAACATTTTAAAAGCCTGTAAAAGCTACCATTTTAGATTTACAGAGGAGGTCTAGTGTTAGAATTACTGCCCTTGATCTGATGTTCACAGCGATACCTCACATGTATGGTGCAACCGCTGTTTACATACCGGCACAGGGTCAACGCTTGTGTGTGCATGGGAGGGGAGTTTTTTTTTTTTTTAAGTCATTTTGATTTTTTAATTATTTTTACACTGTAACTTTCATTTTTTTTTTGATCACTTTTAATGCTATCAGAGGCAATGCAAATAACCCCTATAACTTCAATGGGCATTGTCATATATTCTTTTTTGAGAAATCTGGGGTCTATCAGACTCTAGATATCTCCTCTGCCCTTACATTATCTAATCAAGCCAAAATCGGTGTGATCAGATGCTTTCCCAATTTACTAATGGCGCTGTTTATATCCTGCGAAACTGAAGTGATGAAATGCTCGTGGCTTCCGAATTCTTAGACTATAGAGATGAATGGCACCACTCTGGTCTCCAATCAGCTCTATGGTCAGCTGGCAGAAACACCGGCTGCATTCTCAGGTTCCTCCGATGGCACAGGACTACCCGAGAAGGCCATGGAAGGCAGTGGGGGAGGGGGGGGCATCATATCCCGCTGCTTGTAAAAGCAATCCTGCAGCTAATTAGCCACTGAAAAATCGATCGCCGGCTGAAAAAAACGATACCAGGATGATACCTGCAGCTTCGGTCAGGAAGCGGTTACAGAAGCGGTTTGTGTTATGTCGATGCGTTACTTTAACTGACAAATGCGCGGTCATACAACACTGCACCCAAATTAAATTTACATTCTTTTTTTCCACAAATTGAGCTTTCTTTTGGTGGTATTTGATCGCCTGTGCATTTTTAATTTTTTGTGCTATAAAAAAAAAGGCTGACAAATTTGAGAAAAAAACAATATTTTGGACTTTTTGCTATAAAACATGTCTAGTAAAAAAATGTAAAAATCAAATTTCATCATAAATTTCGGCCAAAATGTATTCTGCGACGTCATTGCTAAAAAAAAATCCCAATACATGTAATTTAATTGGTTTACGTTAAAGTTATAGTGTCTACAAATGGCGGGAAAGATACTGGGATTTTTTTTTTATACTAATAATGGCGGCGATCAGCGACTTATGGCGCTGATCAGCGATTTATGACAGTGATCAGCGACTTATGGCAGGACTGCGGGACTTCGGTGGACATTTTGACACTGGGGGGGGGGGGGGGGGGGGAATTGACTTGACACCAATACAGTGATCAGTGCAAAAACAACCACTGACACTGTACTAATGGCACTGGGGAGGTAGGGGTTAACTTTTTTTAGGCAATGAAAGGGTTAACTGTGTGAGGGGAATGTTTTACTAGGGGGAGGGGGTGTGTGCTTCACAGGAACAAGCTGATCCAAAATGTTGTCTTTTTGGGGGGTGGGGGCGTTTTATTCCCAGCATTAGAAATTTATTATACACATCACTCACTTGATAACTTTTTTTTTTAGACTAAGCATTACAGTGGCGAAATGTTTAGCACTTCTGCCTGGCAGTACTAGGGTCGTTGGTTCAAATCCCAGCCACGGCACCACCTGCCTGGAGTTTGCATGTTCTCCCTGTGCCTGCGTGGGTTTCCTCCGGGTACACCGGTTTCCTCCCACACTCCAAAGACATGCTGGTAGGTTAATTGGCTCCTGTCTAAATTGGCCTTAGTATGTGTATGTATGAATGTAAGTTAGGGACCTTAGATTGTGCACCCCTTGAGGGTTTAGGGACTGATATGAACGTACAATATATATATGTGTAAATGGACGGCGCTATATAAGTACCTGAAATAAATAAAAAATAAATATAGGCTATGTGGAGCTTGTATGTTAATACACTGTACAAGAAAATATGTACCTTATTATAGTGATGTTCTGTTGTTCTTTTTATATTGTAATGTACAGATCTTGATTTACCCCTGAAGAGGATCATGGGTATTTTGGAAATGACCAATAAAATTATGTGGATTGAGATATAGACAGCTTATTTATGTCTGGGTAGCAAAGTGACTCTTTGTTATAAAGGTGCGGAAAACTGGTGTTTGGTGAGTTCAACTATCTGATAAAGACTGTCCGCGGTGATTGTATCTGCTTATACAGTCCAGGCATAGAGGTCTCAGCAAGGGATAAGTCACTAATACAAGAGATGAAGTCAGAGTACCTCGTTTAGAATATTGTGTCCACTTCTGGAGAACTAATTTACAACAAATGACGTCACAGTCTCTCCATCCATCTCAGCCAATTAGAGGGAGCTTTATATTCATTTAGAAAATTGGTGCCTGATGAAGGGGTCCTGCGAGGCCCTGAAACGTTGATTCTGTTATGATGATGTGATTTCTGAATGAAGCTTTGGTTCCATTATGGAGATCCGTGGTGTGCTGCTGAATTTTCTCTCGCTCTGCGGGGCTCCTCTCGCACAGCCATGCCATTCATTCACAAATACTGTATTTATCGCTCCATAAGACGTGCCTGACCATAAGAAGCACCTAGGTTTTAGTGGAGGAAAACAAGAAAAAAAATAATGGACTGCAGACATAGTACAGGAGATGACAAGAGACTGTGGACATAGTACAGGAGATGACAAGAGACTGCGGACATAGTACAGGAGATGACCAGAGACTGCAGACATAGTACAGGAGATGACCAGAGACTGCGGACATAGTACAGGAGATGACCGGAGACTGCGGACATAGTACAGGAGATGACCAGAGAATGTGGACATACTAAAGGAGATGACCAGAGACTGCGGACACAGTACAGGAGATGACCAGAGACTGCGGTCATAGTACAGGAGATGACGAGACTGCAGATATACTACAGATGACCAGAGACTGCGGACAGAGTACAGATGACCAGAGACTGCGGACACATTGCAGGAGATGACCAGAGACTGCAGATACAGTACAGGAGGCTGTCAGAGACTGCTGACATAGTACAGGAGACTGTTAGAGACTGCGGACATAGTACAGGAGACTGTCAGAGACTGCGGACACAGTACAGGAGATTGTCAGAGACTGCGGACACAGTACAGGGAATGATCAAAGACTGTGGATGTAGTACAAGGGATGACCAGAGACTGCGGACACAGTACAGGGGATGACCAAAGACTGCAGATAAAGTACAGGGGATGACCAAAGACTGCAGATATAGTACAGGGGATGACCAGAGACTGCGGACATAGTACAGGAGATGACCAGAGACTTCGGACATACTACAGGAGATGACCAGAGACTGCGGACACAGTACAGGAGATGACCAGAGACTGCAGACATACTACAGGAGATGACCAGAGACTGCAGACATAGTACAGGAGATGACCAGAGACTGCGGACATACTACAGGAGATGACCAGAGACTGCAGACATACTACAGGAGATGACCAGAGACTGCAGACATACTACAGGAGATGACCAGAGACTGCAGACATACTATAGGAGATGACCAGAGACTGCGGACATACTACAGGAGATGACCAGAGACTGCAGACATAGTACAGGAGATGACCAGAGACTGCGGACTTTTGGGGAGGGGGGGAGTGGGTACCTGAATTTGACAGGTACCCACTCCCACTTCTGCAGTGCTGTCCTCCATCTCCATCTTCTGGGACATGTGACAGGTCCCAGAAGACTGCCGGACTATTCACAAAGCGCAGCGCTTCTCGTACATGCATAGTGGGCACCTGGCTGTGAAGCCGCAAGCTGTCACAGCCGGGTGACCACACTACAGAAGACCGTGAGGACACTGCTGGTCCAAGGAACAGGTAAGGTTCTGCTGCAGAGAACAGCCAAGCAGCCGGCCCGGTATTCAGACACGCGGCGGAAATACCGGGCCGGCCACTCCATATTCGCTCCATAAGACGCACAGACATTTTCCACCTTTTTTGGAGGGGAAAAAGTGCGTCTTATGGAGCGAAAAATACGGTATCTGTTAATGAATAAACTACAAGTCCCATCTGGCACTGTGCCAGATGGACTTACAGTTTTGATTGACTGTGAGTGCGGTAACCAGCGCATTTGTAGTCAATTGAGTCTCCCTCCAGATTTTTAACTAAAAACCCATACAAAAGCTGGAGGGGGTTGTACAGGAGCCTGACATTGCACCTGAGATTCACCACTGATTGTGGGTGCAATAAATACTTTGCAGGCTTCTTAAAGAGAAAAAGAAAAAAAATCATATGAACCTAGCCTAATAAAAAAAATATATAATATGTTAAAAAATGATATGAACATAGCCTTTAGGTCCTGCTGCCTGCATTTCAGGACAATGGCTGGTTCAGAAAGCTTCATCTTCATTTCACAGAAGCAGTGAAAGGACACTGTTGCTCCTGCCCACAAGAGGTAACAGCAGTTCACACATGATTATTGTTTGTCTGATTTGCATCTCCAGCTCAATGTTTTCTCGTCTCTCCATCCCCTTACACCCACAGTCTACACCTGCTGCCTCTTCCCTCTCAGCCATAATCTGCTTGCTGTGTCTCCTTCCTCGCACCTGCTGTGTAGTGTCTTCTCCTGCTGCCTTATTCTTCTCCTCCACAACCCTGTTTTGCTTGAGACATTCTTATTCCAGCTTTTTTGACTTGGCCCAGTTCCAAAGACACTTTGTCACATACTGCCTTTCAAATTTTTAGTTCTGATCCAGATGCCTTATCATAATGTCAATATGACATTATCCTCTAATTTGCTTCTAAAGTCGGAAAATCGGCAAAGGTTTAATTTTACTTGAGCTACAATTGCCTAGCAGGGATGAGTTCAGGTGTGTTCAGATACCGGTCCAAACCCAGCTGAGCTATTCCGCCAGGGAACTGTCACAAGCAGGGCCAGTGCTAGACTATTTTGCCCTCTAGGCAACACCAGCTACTTGTGCCCCCCCAAAAAATGTTTTTAAAAACTGTAGAAAATATTAAATAAAAAAAACGTGAAACTATTGCAAATTAAAATTGCTTTTAATTTGCAAAAATAAGTGTTATAAGATGCCACCAGCACCAATATTAAAGACAAAATATATATTAACCAAATATAAATTAACTGTATTACCTAATCAGACAAAAAAAAAGACGGATTTACAAAACTCCACAGTGATCAGCAGCTTGCAGTAAGGGACTGAGTCTGAGAGAAACACTGGAAGGAGCTCAGCTGCTACACTGGCTCCAAATACCCAGCATCTACCTCTGTCCTTTGTCCCTCCCAATCTGCCACCCCTCCCCTCAGCTGAAAGATCATTCATGACATGGCAGTGTCCCACACATCAATCAGCATCTGCTCCTCTCACCACGACCATTGTCCGCCCCTTCCTCCTCCTGTCACCTCCATGACCCGCCAACCTCCTAGATTCAGCTGAGACTCTTAGTGAGGACAGGCCGCTTCCCAGCACTACACTGCTTCCCTCTCATACCCGCCTATTGATTGGCTCCGGCTGTGTACAAGAAGGCGGAGTCAGTGCTGGACATGCCCCATTCGGTCACTAGCCGGTTCCCTGTTACAGCTGGAGAATTGTGTGTGCCAGTGTGTGTACCGGAGATGTATCGACCAATCCTCCGATCAGAGACTGCTGACTGCCTGGGGTCCTGGGCTAATGTCATCACTTCCCATCCTAGGGGGAGCCAACACTTCACTGCTACATGGCATACATCTCTCTCTCTCTCTCTCTCTCTCTCTCTCTCCCTCCTTCAAATTCAAAAGAGCTTTATTGGCAGGACCAAATAACATTTTAGCATTGCCAAAGCAGTTTGTATGGGAACAGTTGGACAGGCTGTGCAGAGTAAAGATACCATCATTCCCTGTGTATGAGGAGAGGGGGACTCTGCAGAAAAATGAAGAATTCATACAAGAGGTCCATAGGGCACACAGAGAGAGTGCCGGCCTATGCTGTGGCCAAGTGCCCCTAGGTGGCAGTGTGCCCTAGGCGGCTGCCTAGTTTGCCTAGTGGAAGCTCTGGCCCTGGTCACAAGGTACCCCTTGTATAGACATGGCTGCAAGGCAGGGAATACCTCAGCTGCTTATGATTGGTGGTTTGCAGTGACAGTTTCTTGGCAGGCAGGATAAGTGAGTTCAGACTAATATCTGCCAAGAAGAACAAAAACAAGGACACTATTCCCTTTGCTGATGTGAAATCCTTTCATAATCTGATGGACCATACTGCTGATACTTCACTGAGGAAGACAACATGTGTTCTATGCCAACTTAAATTGTATCTACAGTTGTGTTCAAGATAATAGCAGTGTGTTGAAAAAAGGGACTAAAGCTCAAAATCCTTCTAATAGCTTTTATTTCCATACACACAAATGCATTGGGAACACTACACATTCTATTCCAAATCAAAACATGAAGAAAAATATATCAAATTTCTGTTGTTCCTCTAAAAAAATTGAAGAAAAGTGAATATCAGACTGTTCAAAAAAATAGCAGTGTTTGTATTCTTCTTTACAAACTCAAACATTCACTATATAAACTGAAAAATGTTTGAAGATTTTGCTTTCCTTTGAATCACTTAATTAATATTTGGTTGTATAAGCACTGTTTCTGAGAACTGCTGTACATCTGTGTTGCATGGAGTCAACCAACTTCTGGCACCTGTGAACAGGTATTCCAGCCCAGGATGATTGGACTACATTCCACAGTTCTTCTCTATTTCTTGGTTTTGCCTCAGAAACTGCATTTTTGATGTCACCCCACAAGTTTTCTATTGGATTAGGATCTGGGGATTGGGCTGGCCACTCCATAACGTCAATCTTGTTGGTCTGGAACCAAGATGTTGCACGTTTACTGGTGTGTTTGGGGTCGTTGTCTTGTTGGAACACCCATTTCAAGGGCATTTCCTCTGCAGCATAAGGCAGCATGACCTCTTCAAGTATTCTGATGTATTCAAACTGATCCATGATCCCTGGTATGCGATAAATAGGCCCAACACCGTAGTATGAGAAACATCCCCATATCATGATGCTTGCACAACCATGCTTCACTGTCTTCACAGTGTACTGTGGCTTGAATTCAGTGTTTGGGGGTCGTCTGACAAACTGTCTCTGGCCACTAGACCCAAAAAGAACAATCTTACTTTCATCAGTCCACAAAATGTTGCGCCATTTCTCTTTAGGCCACTCAATGTGCTCTTTGGCAAGTTGTAACCTCTTCAGCACGTCTTTTTTTCAACAGTGGGACTTTGCGGGGGCTTCTTGCAGATAGCTTGGCTTCACATAGGCGTCTTCTAATTGTTACAGTACTCACAGGTAACTTTAGACCTTCTTTGATCTTCCTGGAGCTGATTGTTGGCTGAGTCCTTGCCATTTTGGCTATTCTTCTATCCATTCGAATGGTAGTTTTTCGCTTTCTTCCACGTCTTTCAGGTTTTGGTTGCCATTTTAAAGCATTTGCGATCATTTTAGCTGAGCAGCCTATCATTTTCTGCACTTCTTTATATGTTTTCCCCTCTCCAATCAACTTTTTAATCAAGGTACACTGTTCTTCTGAACAATGTCTGGAACAACCCATTTTCCTCAGAATTTCAGCGAGAAATGCACTGTAACCAGCATGTACAACATTTGCTGCCTTCCTTCCTTAAATAAGGGCAATAATTGCCACCTGTTTTTCAAAGAATGAATGACCTCACTAATAGAACTCCACACTGCTATTAGTTTGAACATGCCCCTTTCAATTAGTGATTCAATTACACAGAATCAGCAGCATGCTTGTCATGACTGTTGGGTCTGTTGGATTTCTATTACTCTACTACACCTGCTAGTAAATTATTTGCCATGTAGAAATATCATTTCTACCAAAAACAGTGATTGATCAGGTTAGTGATGTCTGACTGCTATTATTTTGAACACAACTGTATATTCAATCAAAACATGTAATCTATTGCAGCTTGCTAATTCTTAGATGTGGTGTCTGCTTTTGTTTTCTCTTCCTTTACTGTTACCTGATGATTATGCCAGCATCATACTTCCCTACAGAACCCCCCCTTCTTCTCTTCTGTAAAACATAGAGGGAAAGAGTTCTGCAGTCCTGCACATGGGTGCTCAGCTCTGTACTGCAGAACATAAAATAAAATCTCTCCAAAGTAAGGAAAACAACCTCTTAGATGGTTGTCACTGGAACAAGTTGGAAGATTGTCCCTCAATTCTTGTCCCTATGACAAATCATTTTTGGTCCTCGTAAGGATTAATCTTCCCAACAAATTTGAGAGATATTTACCCCAAACTACTCGATACAAAAATTAAAAAAGATTTGGACTTTAGATACACCTTAAACCTACAATGAAACAGGGGGAAAGGCCATCTACATTTACTTTAACTAGATGAATTGTACTAGATGTCTTGAAAGTTAAACAGCCTTTAAAGTGTTGGTAAACCCAGGACCCTGCATTCACTATATCTGGTCTCCCACAGTACACACAACATGGAAGTGCAATTATTTTAATAAATATAAACTGCTAAATTCCTTTTCTCATCAGCAGTTAGAACAATCTTGTGACTTCTATCAGTGTCCAGCAGAGCACTGGTTAAAGCTTGTAGGAGGAGTTTTCTCCAGGAGGATGCAAAACCCCTGACCCTCTGTCTGGACAGTGCTGATTGGCCCTGTGCTGATCACATGTATTCGCTAGGAAAAAAAAACCCTCTCTAGCAATACACACCAAACTGAGCATGTGCAGTGTCTCCACAGCAGTTAGAACAGTCTTGTTACTTCTATCAGTGTCCAACAGAGCACATGTTAAAGCTTGTAGGAGGAGTTTTCTCCAGGAGGGTGCAAAACCCCTGACCCTCTGTCTGGACAGTGCTGTTTGGCCCTGTGCTGATCACATGTACTCTCACAAGAAAAAAAAACCTTCTCTAGCAATACACACTAAACTGAGCATGTGCAGTGTCTCCACACGATATGTCTTATCAGGAGATAAGAGGGGGGCACTAAAAGAAGGGAGAAGACCATATCAATCAACCTTTTTACACAATGCAGAGGATTAACCCCTTAGGTTCCACAGTGAGCATAACAAGCATGCTTTACTGCATATACAGACTGATTTTATTGTTGTGGGTTTAGTAACACTTTAAGAATGTCCACATTTTTTTTTTATATAGTAACAGCTAGCAGGGTTTTTAGGGTGAACATATCATTTAATGCAGGGAATGCATTAAGGTAAAAAAAAATGTCTGGACTTTTTTACCACTTTAAATCTCTTGTTTTAACATCAGCAATACTTGGTTGTTAGCCTCAAACAATGCATATTTTATAAAATGATTTAAAAAACAGTGGCTCTGTATGGCAAGAGGCGTTGTAAAATAGCGAATAATATTTTCAGTAATTTATGTATATTGTGAATTTTAAAATAATTACCTTACAATATATGTAACTTTTTTTTTGTAATGCAAAGTTCACAAATGTACAAAGGAGTACTGCTGCCATCTATTGACAAGAGTGGTTATTGCAACTTGTTGACAACAGTTGGAATAGTTAAATGCTGTAATGCCAAGCAGTGTATGTGCTTGCCAGTAAGGAAGTTGATCTACTTTGCACTAGCCTTATGAGAACTAGTCAAGTAAGCACCCACATTAGGCGTTTATTAGATAGGTGAACTTTTTAAAACCCACCCTGCTGTTGACCAGTCTCCTAATTGATCCCTCATTGCATTGTGATCCCACAGTTGCATTATGGAAACAATCTGCAGTGTTTCACAAATGCTTCTAATTACGCATTTTATTTTTTCTTTTTTGAAGGCTGTCTTTTGGTTTATAACATGCATTCTTTTGCATTCATATTCTGAAAGGTATTCTGATTAAATGGAGGGGGGCTTTTAATGCCATGACCACCAATGTAGGAGGGGATGAGGGGGTTAATGTTCACTCTCATTATCACAAAGGCACAGGCAGGGTTGACTTTCTCTGCCATGGCCACCAATGAGGGCGAAGAGGTTGCTTAGGTTTCACTGCCAGTCACCACCATTTGGGGGGGGGGGGAGGGTAACACTGTACCCACAAGGAATTCATATAATGTGTTTCACACAAATAGACCTTTCTTTTGGTGGTATTTCTTCACCACTGGGTTTTTATCTTTTTGTGCTATAACTGAAAAAAGACTGATGATTTTGAAAAAAAGCAACTGTATTTTTTACTTTCTGCTATAAAACATATCCAATAAATTTAAAAAATCATTTAAAAAATCATCACCATGTATTCTGCTATAAATTTTGGTAAACAAAATCCCAGTAAGTGCACAAAAGTTATGGCGTCTACAAACTATGGGATATACTGGAATTTCTATTTATTTATTTATGTATTTTATACTAGTATGGCGGCATTCAGCAACTTATACTGGGACTGTTATATTATTTCTTTAAAAAAGATTCTTTCTTAGATACACAGAATATAACTGGATACTAACATTTATAGGTAAAGTTGATCCAGGGAATATCCAATTGCCTCTCGGGGGATCAGGAAGGAATTTTTTTTTCCCTGCAGGAGCAAATTGGATCGTGCTTTGCTGGGTTTTTTTGCCTTTGTTTGGATCAACTGTGGGTATAGGATTATAATTTTTTTTATTTTAATGGTTGAACTGGATGGACTTTTGTCTTTTTTCAGCCAGACTAACTATGTAACTATGTAATAGTACAGCGATCAATCTGACATTAACTGACAGTTTGTGGGAACCAGTGACATTAATACAGTGATCAATGCTAATAATATACACTGATACTGTACTAATGACACTGGTTTGGATGTGGTTAACATCTAGAGGCGATCAAAGGGTTAAGTGTATGTGTGTGTACTTTTACTACAGGATGAGATGGTTTTTATGCAGGAAAACAAAAATCATCACATCCCCACTGACAGGGCAGAGCTCTGTATTGCTTACATACACAGAGCTCTGTCCTGTCAGCCTCGTCAAACAGCAGTCATTGGCCGGGACCCGCTGATTGGCTTGTGCTGTATCTAATCACAGTACAGCCAGTGCAGCTGGTGCGTGCTCACGCATCCCCTACTGGGTAGTGCTGGATCATGTACTAGGTACGTGATCCAGCACAGGAGAGCCGCCTTGCCGCCACATACTGTATGTAAGTGATAGGTCAGCAAGTGGTTACTGCATATTGTGTCCACTGACACCAATGTTGGGGATTATTATTACACCCACTGACACCAATGTTGGGGCTTATTATTACATCCACTGACACCAATGCTGGGGGTTATTATTACACCCACTGACACCAATGTTGGGGATTATTATTACATCCACTGACACCAATGTTGGGGGTTATTACTACACCCACTGACACCAGTGTTGGGGCTTATTATTACATCCACTGACACCAATGTTGGGGCTTATTATTACACCCACTGACACCAATGTTGGGGATTATTATTACACCTACTGACACCAATGTTGGGGTTTATTATTACATCCACTGACACCAATGTTGGGGGTTATTATTGCACTCACTGACCACCATGGTATTCTTATAATGGTAATAATAGTCAACAATGGGGCCGATTTTCACTTGCAGTACAGAGAAGTGGAGGCCATTTTTAGAAGGTATTGGCATATTCTCCTGATGGATAAAATATTAGAAACAGTGCTTTCAAAGAATCCTCTTTTGATATACAGCAGAGCCCCAAATTTTTGGAGCAAAATTTGGCAGCAAATATTTCGGGATAAGACAGGCTTTTATGCCTGCTGTAAGTGCAAGGCTTGCAAACAGGTTAATAATAAAGTTAGGGGTCTAACCAGTTTTATGCCCTGATCCAATATTAGGGAATTTAAAATATCTGAATTTATCACATGCATCACCACCCATGTTGTATGTGCTCTTGAATGTATGTGCAGTCTCATGTATGTGGGCCAAACTAAACGTTCTTTAAACACTTGCCTACAGGGCACTTATACCCCCTTCCTGCCCAGGCCAATTTTCAGCTTTCAGCTCTGTTGCACTTTGATTGACAATTGCGCGGCCATGCAACATTGTACCCATATGAAATTTTTATCATTTTTTTCTCACAAATAGAGCTTTGTTTTGGTGGTATTTATTTGCCGCTGGGTGTTTTACTTTTTGCACTATAAACAAAAAAAGAGCAAATAATTTGAAAAAAATAAAAGTTTATTATGTTTCTATTATAAAATTTTGCAAACAGGTAAGTTTTCTCCTTCACTGATGTGCGTTGATGAGGCTGCACAGATGGGCACTGATAGGCAGCAATGATAGGCGGCACTGATGATGGGTACTGATAGTCGGCACTGATAGGTGGCACACTGCTGGGCACTGACTGGCGCAACTGCTGGGCATTGTTGGGCGGCACTGACTGGTGGCACTGGTGGGCACTGATGGGCACAGGTGGGTGGCACTGATTGGCACAGGTGGGCGGCACTTCTGGGCACAGTTGGGTGGCACTAATGGGCACAGGTGGGCGGAACTGGTGGGTGGCACTGCTGGGCACCCATCATTAGGGCACTGATTATCAGGGCCCTAATGATTGGTGCCGATCCCTGCTTTGACAACTGCCAGTTCTCGGCAGTACTTTCCTCACACTCTGACAGCGTGAGGAAAGTGCAGCCGAGAACCGGCAATTGCATTTCCTGATGATCAGCATGACATTGGACACAGCTGATCATGTGGTAAAAGGTTGTGATTGGCCTTTTACCACATCATGTGATTAGCTGTGTCCATAGGACAGAGCGATCACGGAGATCGCCGGGGGAGCGCAGGAGAGCGCGTTCAGGGAGAACGCCCAGGACTGTCCGGCCGCAGTGCAGCTGTCATTTGGCTATCTGCGGTCAGCAACTAATTAAAGAAAAATGTTGCAGAGCATATATACATTATTTCAATAGGTTATAAACAACATAATATATCTTCATTTTAGGCGATACCACAGTGATCAAATTAGGATCAGGGAGATCTGGAAACTGTTTTATGCAAATTGCATAATCCTGAGATCCTGCTCTGAGGAATGTTTTATGATGCACTAATTATGTGTTAATATTATATATGTAATTTAATTTAAGTGTTAGTCTGGGGAGGAGAAACAGCTGTGAAGGATCGTTTATGTGTTTTTTTGCTGATCAGTAAAATGAGAGGCAATAAAAATCGGTGAGTGTGGTGTCCTGTGGGGAGTGGACATCTCCTGATACATTGTGGTAGAAGCAATCTAATAAACAAAATTAGCTTTGGCATTGGAATACACGAACAGTGTTTTAGGAATATAATGGACATTTGGCTAAATATGATTTTTGAAGTGTGAATGAGTAACACAAAGGTGGACTGTTGTTTTTTTCACCACAATCACTGGGTGTTATATTTAAAGAGGAGCTTCACTCTCTCAGTCAACATTGACTATTTTTAATCATTATGCTGCTAACATTAGTAAATAGATAAGAATGTACTGTATATCATATTTACTAATTATATAAACTTTTTTTTTGTATGTTTCTTTTCAGTTACTTCCTGGTTTCTTGCCTAGGCAAATGCTGTCATACATCCATGAATCTTCTGGAGGGGAAGAGGGGTTTTCTCAGCTAAGCACACCTTCCTGCTTCTATGCCTAAACTAAGGGCAGATGGATTCCAGTAAGTCAATGCTACATGAATCATCTGCCCTTACTCAAGATGGCCACGGCCAGAAATGCTAGGCGGTGTTTTTCAAAGTGATTTCTCAGCAGGATAAAGCATGGAGACATTGATGGATGGCTGAGCTTGATTTGAATATTACAAATTAATTTAATAGCATTTTTGCATTGTGGTACTCAGATGCAATGTACTATAGTTCCGCTTTAAGTTTAAGAGTGCTGCCTAAGGGTGAATTTTGTTTACTCTTTTTGATTATAATGATGGGGGTTATTACTGTGTCCACTGACACCAGTGTTGAGGGTTATCATTGCACTCTCTGACACCAATAATTGGGGGTTATTATTGCAATCAGTGACACCAATGCTGTAGGTTATTGTTGCTGAGGGGTTATGGAACTCCTGTGCAGCAGGCTTGACATTTTGGTTGTGTTGAGGGGCATTGTAGCCCATTAATTTTGAATAGGATGCCTAACGTGATGCAATGCACCCTGATGTACAAAAGTGTGCATTGTGCAGCTGTCTGGAGGTGTCAGGGGCCACAATGTTCAAGTTGACCACCACTAAGATAGAGAAACATAAGGCAGGAATATGGGGTCACAGGGAGCTAATGGGTCAGTAAAAAGAGTATTACTGGGTAGCAAGTCCAGAGAATACAGATTCAGGGTATGCAGACTCAAGTAAAATATTGAGCTCCTGAGGTGGAGCTAAATAGCCTCACAACAGCCAGCTGCATGTGGTGACTAATCACTGGGACCTGGGACCAACTGGGGGATACTGGAACTACACAATTCATGTCTGGTGGAGCAGACTTTTTGCATACCGTTCCCTGCCAGGAAATTCTACATGTAACCATTTCCATGGAATTAAGGACTGGGCATTCATTGCATGGAATTGAATTTAATTTCCTGCTTATGGTCTCAAAAATGTTATGAGGTGCTGGTGGCACCGTGGCATTTACAGCAGAAAAAAGACCAAGTGGCCCATCGAGGAATCCTCATTTGCCAACACTCCCAGACCTCTGTATTTTTAATGTTGGCTGAGTGAATATGTATTGTTGGCACAATATACTTTATATAACTTTCCACTTATCTCTCCTTGAGGAAGATTATGTGTAATTGAAACGTGTCGGAGCTCAACCCAGTGGCGTCCCATGTTTATTCCCTTTGGTGTGTATTGGGACAAAACAAAAAAAGGGAGGCGCCGCAAATTCCAGGGTGACTACAAACCTACCGCATGGGCTGGACACCAGTATTGGCACCGCTTTCACCACGAAAAGGTAAGTTGTTAAAGCAAGCCGACGATCCCGCAGGCAAAAACTGGGCAAATACGAAATGCACCGTGTGAAAGGACCCTTAAGTGAGATTTTCCTTGAACGATCCTGTCACATCGTGTCTTCTGTGCCACACTCTCTCTCCTGTCGAGAACTGTCTGAGGAGAGAACCTTTTTGGCAAAATATCAACATCTCAAGTTACAAGTCTTTTCTCCACTGAACTAGATTGGTTCATTGTCCACATTGCGCAACATTATCAAGAAGTCCATTTGCAACCCATGGCACTGTAGCTAATCTCCCTTGTCGTGGACGGATGAGGAAAATTGATGAAAGATTGCAACGCAGAATAGTCCCCGGATGGTGGATAAGCAGCCCCAAACATGTTCCAAAGACATTCAAGCTGTCCTGCAGGCTCAGGGAGCATCAGTGTCAGCGCGAACTATCCGTCGACATTTAAATGAAAGAAACGCTATGGCAGGAGACCCTAGGAGAGGACCCCACTGCTGACACAGAGACATAAAAAAGCAAGACTACAGTTTGCCAAAATGTACTTGTCGGTAAGCCAAAAGCCTTCTGGAAAACGTCTTGTGTCAGATGTGAGATAGAGCTTTTCGGTAAAGCACATCATGATCACTGTTTACCGAAAACGGTGAGGCCTACAAAGAACAAAACACAGTACCTACGGTAAAATATGGTGGAGGTTCAATGATGTTTTGGGTTCTTTTGCTGCCTCTGGCACTGGGTGCACTTGACTGTGTGCAAGGCATCATGAAATCTGAGGATTACCAAAGGATTTTGGGTCGCACTGTAGGGCCCAGTGTCAGAAAGCTGGGTTTGCGTCCAAGATCCGGTCTTCCAGCAGGACAATGACCCCAAACATACGTCAAAAAGCACTCAGAAATGGATGGCAAACATCGCTGGAGAGTTCTGAAGTGGCCAGCAATGAGCCCAATCTAAAAAAACCTGTGGAGAGAAAAATTGCTGTTGGGAAAAGGTGTCCTTCCAATAGAGAGACCTGGTGACACTGTTTGCTGCTAAGTGACAGATGTAAAAAATTCCGGGTAAAAGGTGTAAAAGCTTATTGATGGTTATAGGAAAATTTCAGTTATGTTTTCCAAAGGGTGTGCAAAAATATTAAGTTTAAGGGTGCCAATACTTTTGTCCACCCATTTTTGGGTTTTGGTGACATAACTAATTTTCTGCCTCTTTTTTTTTTTTTCCAATACATAAAAAAAAAACGCAAAAAATTTTGGCCAAGATTTAGTGATGAAATACTTGATTTTTTGCAAAATTTTATTTCAAGGGTGCAAAAATGACTTATTCTCCTTGAGGAAGATTATGTTAATTGAAACTTTTTCATTTCAATAGTGGCGTCCCGAGGCAGGTGTGGGGGGTGTGCGCCGCAAAAAAACTAAAACCCCAGGGTGAATAAATACCACCAAAAATAAAGCTTTATCTGTCCCTCAAAAAAACTGGAAAAAAATGCCCATATGGGAAAGGACCCTTACAGTATTGCTTGATGATCCTGTCACGCAATTGTCCTTCAAAGTGTGATCAGCACTCTGAAAGCTGAAACATCTTTCTCCTGGACAGCTGATTGGTTCATTGGGGAAAAAGTGTCCGGACACAGGAAGTTGTAGTTAAACTCTGTGTTGCTGACAGAGGGGGGGGGGCATAAGTGGGGAGCTACACAGACATCCTCCAGCTTACCTCTCCCTTATCACAGTACAACTGGCTGTTTACACAGTAAATTGATGGCGAGGAGAGGCAAATGAGTCGGGAAGGGGGGGATCGGCTTCCAGGCTACTAAAATAACAATTTCCCCCTCTATCCAGAACCTAAAATAATATATTATTTTACATGTTTATAGATATTAAGTTATATGGTGTAGAAAACCTAATAAAAATAATGATATTTTGTAATGCATGTTAATGGTTGCTGAAAAAAAAAAAAACAGCAATAACATAAATTTCTTGTAATTTTTATGCATAGTTGTGTGTTGAAAAATGCAGAACAAGTAACAGAAATTATGTATTTCATAATAGAATAGGGGACATGCTAAACAGGAGCAGTGAGACAAATAAATATTTCCTGCAGCTGCAGTGATGCAGTGCACCCACAGAATGAAACCTGACCCTGACCACTTCGTAACTGTGTGTCTATTTAAATTTGTCATCTCTGCCGTAACAAATCTGTTGCAGAACTTTGCAAATCTGTTGTAGTTTGCTGTTAAAGATTACAGGTGCACGGGTCACAAATACCCAGGTAAATTGTCAGACTTTGCTGAGAGACTGCCTGATTTGCAACTGTCTTGCTAATTTGCTTGATAAATATCCCCAGTGTATAGTGTGTTTATATATTTTTTTGTTTATTACACTCGTAAAGGGAAATTTATCAATCCTGTGGCAAAGCAATGATAAAGAGAAGCAGTGAGATGCGTCATGAGACTGTTTTATTACAAGGTTACAGCCTTAATCATAAATTCTTCCTTTGTCTGCTTGGGTGCACTTGCAGCTAAACTAAACCTAGTTCTGATCACTTCCAAATCTGTCTTTGAACTTTGCAAACATTTGCATTTGGATGTCTGGAAATATATAGATAGCACCCTCCTAATGTAGAATGCTAGGTACATTTAGTTTTTTGCTCCTTCTGTAAACAAGGGAGGATTTATTGTTTGTCCTGGTCTGTTCAGGGTTTTACAGAATGGGAGTTTGATTGCTTCCCCTTGCCCTGGAAGAAGCAGGCTGGAATGGTGATAAATAGTCTGAGGTACTGGACTATGTTTACTAATTAGGTGACTTCTGATGGCAATTGGTTCCACTAGATTTTAGTTAGGGGTATCAGAGTAAAGGGGGCTGAATACAAATGCATGTCACACTTTTCAGATATTTATTTGCAAAATAAATTGAAAACCATTTATCATTTTCCTTCCACTTCATAATTATGTTCCACTTTGTGTTGGTCTATCACATAAAATCCCAATAAAATACATTTACGTTGTTGGTTGTAACATGACAAAATATGGAACATTTCAAGGGGTATGAATAATTTTTGCAAAGCACTATATATGACTACTGCAATAAGCAGGACGATCACTGCTGGTCTCTAAGAGCAAGTCTATGGTACAGTTATGACATGACTTAAAGCGGAACTAAACCGTTTGATTTAACTGATCACATGTTCAGCACCATGGCAGGTGAAGAACAAACAGGCTAAAATGGCAGCTTCCTTGGCTGTAACAAATAAGAGGGTTTAGTTCCACATCAAGGCCTCATACAAACAAGGTATTTGCCCAGTTATCCTTAACGCCTTTCCACCTGGCAGCAGTGTCTTGGCAGAAAAAAACGCTTGATGCGTTTTGGCATGTTTTGATTTGTCAATCGCTTGGCGCGAATCCATTTCATTGCCCAGAATATTCATTTATTTTGCCCATTGAAATGAATTGACGAGGTCGGCCTCTCTTGTATCTCCAGCCCAGGCCCCACTGAAGGTGGAACAGATGGTGCCGAGGGACAGGAGAAACACGAGTGCCTGCAGATGTTGATTGCAGAACTTGTGGCTGGAGGTGTAAACTTAGTAGATCAAGCAGGGCATCTGATCAGGAACAGAGGAGGTGCAGGAATGGCCAGCTGAGGTTAAAGAAGCACTCCACCAGAACTGCAAAATCTAGGTGCGTGGCTTGCCGGTACTTCTAACAAGTGTGGGGTTGGATGACAACTGGAGCTGATATGATAGACAGCCAGGGCAAGGACTGTACAGCCGAACTGGAGCCAGAAGTGTAGTCAGGGGGGTAGACAAGGTCAGCAACAAGCAGGCGATGAGGTACTGAAACATCAGACAGGAACATGGTCAGGCGCAAGCCAGGATCCGAAACCGATGGGCAGAAGCATTATTTATTTCAGGTGCTTATATAGTGCTGTCAATTTACACAGTGCTTTACATATATATTGTACATTCACATCGGTTCCTAACCCTCAAGGGGTGTACAATGTAAGATCCCTAACTCACATTCATACATACACATACTAGGGGCAATTTAGACAGGAGCCAATTAACCTACCAGCATGTCTTTGGAGTGTGGGAGGAAACTGGAGTACCTGGAGGAAACCCATGCAGGCACAGGGAGAACATGCAAACTCCAGGCATGTGGTTCCGTGGTTGGGATTCAAACCAACGACCCTAGTACTACCAAGTGGAAGTGCTAACCATTTAGCCACTGTGCTGCGCGAGAAGCATAAACAGGATCCAAGAACCAGTCAATGGCAAGCTGGGTCAGTACTGGATAACACCCAGGATGCAAGGAAACAGCTGAAGACCAGTCAGCACTGGCAGAGAGTAAGAGCCTCCCTTAAATAGCCAGTCTGGCGCCAGAAACTGTGGACATGCTTCCATGTGCACGCATTCTTGCATACATGCGTGAGCCTATGCTCAGTTTTATTAGCAATGTGCCTGTACTTGTTTCTATGCGCGATGTTGTGTGCATGTGTATATCTATGCGCCAGTTGCCGTACAGGAATTCCCTTACACTTGGTTCTCATTCCGCTTCTCAGGATAGAACAGAACCCTTTGAAGCCTCAACCCCTCAACCCATGTGATCTCTATTGATGGGGCAGACTGTTTGTTAGGAGAGATGCTGCCATAGATACCTATTCAGTTCTGCAAGTAAAAGCCTAGTACACACAATGAGAATATTGGATGAATGATCATCTGTTTTTTTTTTTTTGCATGCTAGTCTCATATCAAAAATGGATAGCTTACTAAAGTTACGAAAATTCACGTAAGACAGAATACAGCTTCCTGCAATGATGAACTGTATTGTCATGTATTCTTTCATTTCCGAGCATGTGCAGTCTTGATCACTTGATTTTTTTTTACAGACGAATATTGTGCTGATTAAACAAAAATCGTTTGTTCTGATATCGCTAAAATATTCTGTGCTTGTCCCTGTGAATATTTATACATGAACTGTCATGCTCTCAAAAGCTGTGTACTAACAATCAGATTGTAGGATGATAGCTCCAAAGGCAGTATTTTTCGTTCGATATTTTCATTGTGTGTACAAGGCTTAAGGCAGTGCCTTCCCTAACAACTAACAAGTCTCAGCAGTTCTGCTCACAGATAAGGACTGAGACTGGGGTTGAGGTTAAAAAGCTGATGGCTGCAAATCATTTAAAAGGGCGATGTTCCATGGGTAATATAGCTTTGTGCTTTGTATCAAAGAAATGGTTGGATCCCTGGAGAACCTTGTTCATATAGTCTGAGCAATGAAAGGGTTAGTTAGAGCTTTGTGGGTATCTAAGCACTCCCTAAATGTTGTTGCAAAAACATTTTTAAAGGTCAAGTCTGATTCTCCTAGAGCTAAGCCTTTTCTGTCCTTTCCAAATCCCCCACCTTTGGGTCCCAAGCCATTAATTAGCAGTTAATGAGCATTCTCTTGCAAGCTGCTTGGCAAGGAAAACAAAAAGCCCACAGTGCCAAAGTGGTGGGGGTGTTGAGAGCCCCTGATCGTTGCCCGGTTCAGAAATTAGAGAACTCCTGGCAGGGAGAACTCTGTAAACAGTTTAATTTAAATCTGTCATAGAGTGAAGGAGGGTGGAGGGTAGATCCCTGAGGCAAAACATAATTAATTGTATCCTCTATGACCATTACAATGCGGAACTGGCACCGATATGAGAATGTGTCTGCTTGTGTATAATAAACCGTTTCTTTTAAGTTCTTCTAGCCCCTTCTGTCTTCATTTTATAGGAGTGGAAAAACAGAAATTACACTTCAGGAAATGTTGTGTAAGTATTTTTACATTTCATGATCTGTAATCTTTGTTTAAATTTTTCTTTTTGTTCTTGAACCATTGCAGAACCAAAGCCTCACATAAAACCGGAACTAACAGATCTGAATCCTAATTTTAAACAGTTTTTAATTATTGTAAGCTCTTAGGAGCAGGGCCCTCTTAACTATCTTGTATTTAACCTCTTGCCGACCGCGCATAGCCGAATGACGGCTTCACCGCGGCCGGCCAGTTCTGAGTGGACGTCATATGACGTCCTCCCAGAACGCGCTCTCCTGCGCGCCCCAGGGGGCGCGCACCCGGCGATCTCCGTGATCGCTGTGTCCTACGGACACAGCTGATCACGTGATGTGGTGAAAGGCCGATCCCACCAGCCTTTTATCACGTGATCAGCGGTGTCCAATGACACGCTGATCACAGGGAAATGCAAGTGCCGGTTCTCGGCTGCACTTTCCTCACGCTGTCAGATCGTGAGGAAAGTACTGCCGAGAACCGGCAGTTGTCAGAGCGGGGATCGGCACCGATCATCAGGGCACTGATGATCAGTGCCCTGATGATCGGTGCCGAGCAGTGACACCCGCAAGTTCCGCCCAGCAGTGCGCCCACTAGCCCCGCCCACCCGTTCCCAGCAGTGCCCCCACCTGTGCCCAGCAGTGCCCCCACCTGTGCCCAGCAGTGCCCCCACCTGTGCCACTCTGCAGTGCCACCTACCTGTGCCCAGAAGTGCCACCTACATGTGCCCAGCAGTGCCACCCACCTGTGCCCACCCACCTGTGCCCACCAGTGCCACCCACCTGTGCCCACCAGTGCCACCCACCTGTGCCCACCCACCAGTGCACCCACCAGTGCCACCCACCAGTGCAGCCCAGCAGTGCCCAGGGGTTGTGCCAGCCAGTGCCGCCAGTCAGTGCCCAGAAGTGATGCCAGTCAGTGCCGTCTATCAGTACCCATCATCAGTGTCACCTATCAGTGCTGCCTATCAGTGCTGCATATCAGTGCCGCCTATCCGTGACCCCTAATTAGTGCTGTCTATCAGTGCCGCCTATCCGTGCCACCTCATTAGTACTGCCTATCAGTGCCCTTTAGTGCTGCCTATCAGTGCCCATCAGTGCCGCCTATCAGTGCCCATCAGTGCCGCCTCATCAACGCAAATCAGTGAAGGAGAAAAAATATCTGTTTGAAAAATTTTATAAAAGAAACAAATAAACTTTTTTTTTTTTTTCAAATTTTTTGCACTTTTTTTAATTTATAGCGCAAAAAGTAAAGCGCCCAGTGGCGATTAAATACCACCAAAAGAAAGCTCTATTTGTGAGAAAAAAAATGATCAAAATTTCATATGGGTACAATGTTGCATGACCGCGCAATTGTCAATCAAAGTGCGGCAGCGCTGAAAGCTGAAAATTGACCTGGTAAGGAAGGGGGTATAAGTGCCTGGTAGGCAAGTGGTTAACCACCTGCCGACCGCAGATAGCCGAATGATGGCTACACTGCGGCTGGCCAGTTCTGGGAGGGCGTCATATGACGTCCTCCCAGAACGCGCTCTCCTGCGCGCCCACGGGGGCACGCACCCGGCGATCTCCATGATCGCTGTGTCCTACAGACACAGCTGATCACGTGATGTGGTAAAAGGCCAATCACAGTGGCCTTTTACCACATGATCAGCCGTGTCCAATGACACGCTGATCACCGGGAAATGCAATTGCCGGTTCTCGGCTGCACTTTCCTCAGTTGTCAGAGCAGGGATCGGCACCGATCATCAAGGCACTGAAGATTAGTGCCCTGATGATCGGTGCCCAGCAGTGCCATCCACAAGTTCTGCCCACCTGTGCCCAGCTTTGCACCCACCTGTGCCTAGCAGTGTGCCCACCTGTGCCCAGCAGTGCACCCACCTGTGCCACCCAGCAGTGCCACACACCTGTGCTCAGAAGTGCCACCTACTTGCGCCCAGCAGTGCCACCCACCTGTGCTCACCCACATGTGCCCACCAGTGCCACCCACCAGTACCCATCAGTGCAGCCCAGCAGTGCTGCCAGTTAGTGGCCAGTGGTTTTGCCAGTCAGTGCCCAGCAGTTGTGCCAGTCAATGCCTAGCAGTGCCGCCAGTCAGTGCCCAGCAGTGATGCCAGTCAGAGCCACTTATCAGTGCTGTCTATCAGTGCTGTCTATCAGTGCCACCTATCAATGCCGCCTATCCGTGCCACCTCATTAGTGCTGCCTATCAGTTGCCATCAGTTCTGCCTATCAGTGGCGCCTGTCAGTGCCCATCAGTGCTGCCTCATCGACGCACATCAGTGAAGGAGAAAAATTACCTGTTTGAAAAATTTTATAATAGAAACAAAGAAACTTTTTTTTTTTCAAATTTTTGAAATTTTTTTGTTTATAGCGCAAAAAGTAAAGTACCCAGCGGTGATTAAATACCACCAAAAGAAAGCTGTATTTGTGAGAAAAAAATTATAAAAATTTCATATGGGTACAATCTTGCATGACCGCGCAATTGTCATTCAAAGTGCGACAGCGCTGAAAGCTGAAAATTGGCCTGGTAAAGAAGGGGGTATAAGTGCCCGGTAGGCAAGTGGTTAATTGTTTTGTAACTGTACTGTCTCCCTTTATATTGTAAAGTGCTGCACAAACTTTTGGCGCTATATAAATTCTGTATAATAATAGTGCAGTTTTAAAATGAACATTCAAATCAGGCTAGTGAGTGCAGCATTTAAAAGTATGGAATGTGTAGAGCAGTGTATGGAGGGGAGTAATATGATGTCTTTAGTGTACACAGTGCAGCAGTCTTCAGTATGGAATGTACAGCAAAGCGTCCACATTGGAGTGGTTTTTGATTATATGTAACAAAAAGCACAACATCCAGCAGCCTGGAGAATAAAACCCAAAGTGCATTAGCCACCTCTAGCTCACAGCGTACCACATGGACAACACTTCTCCAGATACAGTAAAACCTCGGTTTAAGAACGCCTCGGTTAAAGTAATTTTCGGTTTACAAATGAAAATCCACTGAAAATAATGCCTCAGTTTACAAATTTTGTATGAATTTTTTTCGCAATACAAAGTGTATGTCAGTGCTGACCTTTAAATGCAATTGCTGGCTCTTTTTTTTTTTTCTTCACTATAGCTCACAGAATTAGCTGTCACTTTCCCCAAAGTTAACGGAAATGTTGTTTCTTTTAAGAAACTAAAAAGAAACATTGTTTGCCCCCCCCTTTCCTGACCTGCCAGGCGGCATGCTCTGAAAAGGGTCTGGTATGGATTTTGGGGAGGACCCCCACGCCATTTTGTTTTAAATGTTGTCATGGGAGTTCCCCTCAAAATCCATACCAGACACGAAGGGCTTGGTATGGATGGGAAGGGGTACCCCATGCAGTTTTTTAAATTATTTTTTTAATTGTCGGCAACTCTTTTACATTCAGCTGTCAGTGGGGAACCCCGCTGACAGCTGAAATATTAACACATGGTTGTCACTACTAAAATGCCGCATGACTTGATAAAATAACTCATGCGGTATTTATTAGTGTTTACTTTTTTCTGATCTCCGGAACAGATTAATTTGTTTTTAATGCATTTCTATGGGAAACGGCGTTTCGGTTTAAGAATTTTTCGCTATAAGAAAGGTCCTGCAGAACGAATTAAATTCTTAAACCGAGGTATTACTGTACTACTCAATTTGGCCAGTCACTCTATCTCCTTCCTTGAAACATACTGTAGCACTACCCCTTAGGAGTAGCTGAAGATTTGGGTACCCCTATAGTCCTGCACAGCCAGGCAAGACACATTTTCCACAGACTTGCATTCCAGAGACAGTAAACAGTCCTTGAGCTTGTTTTTTTTTGTTTTATTAGGGGTGTTAAACTTGGATGAAGTAAGGGGTGCATGGGATGCCCAAGGGATAGTAAACTGATGATAACGTCCTGGCAGCTACGTACAAGTCTCTTCTGTAGAGCTCTCCAGGCTCTCCTGGTGTACGACCCCAGATAAATTCTCTTTTTATCCAACTGTCTAGAGGAATCCCTGGGCAAGGGGATCCAGTGCCAGCCACTTTAAGATGAACTGTCCCGGGTAAGGAGCTAGTTAGGTTTCCAACCAGAATGCTCTTTTCCCCTTAGCTGGCCCATGGGGTGTAGGATTACTCAGTCAGTCTTTGCCTGTGAGCTGGTTTAGGTAGGTGGCTGCCTTCAGGCCTTCTGCTGGGCTGGCTCCTTTCCTGGCTTCACAGGTAGTCCCCCCTCCAGGAACTGGTGAGACTGAGTGATCCTACTTTCCAAGTCCCAGCCTGTAGGTAGGCCTTAGCCCACTGACCCCCCCCCCCAGCTGTAGGTAGGCCTCTTCCCACTGACACCCCCCCCCCCTGCCAAGCTCCTGCATCTCAATCTTCTTCATATTTTCCACTGTCCTGACCCCATGTCAAGCCTCCTGTCTGGGGATTTGTCAGGATCCCCTAAGCATGCAGGCCAGCCCCTCCTCACCCCCTCCCACTGCTTCCAGAATCTTCTCCAAGGTTCTAGAGTAGGGGGAGGTATCAAATAATTGATTTACAGTGCCTCTCAGCCGTGACCCAAATTTGACCCTGCTGACTATTCCCAGGCTACTGCTCACTAACAGTTAGCAACAGAAGCGGGCTGACAACTCATGGGGCCCCTGGGCAATAGGGGATCATGGGGCCCCTGTGTCCTTGCCCAAGCTCAAAAAAGAAAGCTTATGAAAAAGGTACCAGGGGCATCTCATGGGGCCCCTTATTAACACCGGGCCCTCGGGCAGTGCCCGAGTTTCCAAATCGTTAGTCTGCCCCTGGCTAGCAACCACCTCCCCCTGGCTATCTAGAGGGGTGCTACAATACCTTTGACACATTTTGCTCCTTTGGCCAGTAATCTGTTCAATTTTTTTATGTGTTTCTCCACCAGACTGTGCTCCTCCACACCAAAAAAAGGGTTGTCATTCCCTGCCATCACGTTTGGTCTACAGTAATATGGTGGTGGGCTGACAGCACCTTTCTATTTGGCAATAAGGTAATGTAGGACTTGCACAATTTAGTTGCCAACATACATGTGCTTTGTAGGGACAAGCAGTATATTGGAATTAATTTTGGCTTTAAAAAATGGTGTAGGGACATCTTTTTCAAGTGCAATATCACGTTACAGTGTATTTCCATTAAATGCAGTTTCTCTTGTCTGTGTAGATACATGCACACATAATCTGCAGTATAGCAGCTGGGATATGACTATGATGGCATCTTTAAACTGTACAGTCTTAGGTCTTTTTTCAGACAGGCAGCCGTGCTTTTCACCCTCTTTCACCCTGTTTTCTTCTTTTTTTAATTTTTGAACGGCCATTTTACTTTGCTGGGCAGCACTGCAACTGTGAGCCGATCGTTTAGTCAGTGAGTCTGACAGGTGGGTGCCTGTTCAAAATGCCATGGCTGTGTGCACAGTCCTGTCAGGCTGTAATATTAGGGTGGGTGGGAAAACCACAGCTGAGCCTCCTGTATTTACCACTCTTCCTTCCCTGGCCGTGTGAAAGAGCCCTAAAAGACCAAAACTGTTGGCAATAAAAAGCAAGAGTGTCACTG